AGGAACCCTAGCTATGTTTGTTTGATTGGATGATTGTATGAGTACTCTGACTTGATAATCTTGAGTTCATATTCAATCTATGCATGTTTTCACTATTCAATTCTGCTTTAGTCGAGATTATTGATTCTGCTTTGATCCTATGAGAGCGAATACCTGATTAGGTCAATAGAGCACCATAGATTGATAGTAGTGGATCGATTGCTTTAGTCGAGGGTTGATTCACTGCTTTGTATCGATTGAGAACCTCATTCGATAGAGGGAGTCTAGTTCAGAACGCCTTGATCGATTGTTCTAGAGAAGGATACGTCCCTCTAGGCAATTGACTCAAGAGGGCCTTGTTCCTTTAGTCGAGACTCAAGGTCTAGTCAAGGATTCTCCGCATTGTGAATGAAGTGAAACAAGTTAGAAATCATCGATCGTTAATCTGGCTAGTGGCTAGGGGGAATCATACCTAAGTGAGTTCCCAACCTGTAATTAGATTAACTTTAACTGTAGTTTGCTAGAGTAATTTTAGTTCTTTCATCTTAATCTGTTTTGCTAGATAATGAACTGAAGCTGAGTAATAGTAACTCTAGAGACCCGTGGATTCGATATTTATTACTTGAGCCACTATACTGCAGTCCCTTTCATTGGTTACACTTGGCCATTGTTAGGAGTTGTGTTTTAGCGAGTCACCGCCGCATAGCTTGACGTGCCTACAAGATGGACTACTTCGACGTCGGTCAGACATACGTCTCCACCCTCAAGCCACAGTGGCACATCCTCAGCCTGCTGATCACCCGCTCGATAGTCCCCCAACGCCACTGGTTCCCACAAGATCCCGAAGCGGGTGCTCTACGCCATGTATTCGATGGGGGACCCGGATCACATGCTACACTTGGGTTCTTTTGTGGCTACCACCTTCTCTCGGTGCCACGGGAAACCCAACCACCTCTTCTGTGGTCCCCTGATCACCAGGCTGGCGCGCCACTTCGAGATCGAATTGGCGGGACTCACGGATGCCACAGAACGGGGCGGATCCACTCCTCTCCGCCGGGAGGTGCTTCACAATGCGCTCCTGCTGGCCTCTGATGGAGCGCGTTCCTGGGTGGATGGCTTGTCCCTGCCTCCCGAGGAGGATGCATATATTGATGATGAGGACGAGGATGAGGAGGACGAGGACTACACCAGTGAGGGTGAGGTCGATGATGATGATGGCGGGGCCATGGATGCTGATGAGCCGGAGCCCCCGCTCTCCCCCCCTAGGGGATCTTCAGCCACGACGGAGACCTGAGCGAGGTGAGTCCTCCTCCGGTCCTTCTGGTCCTTCGATGGCTTCTGGCCCGTTGATGGACTTCTTCACGGAGCAGTTCCATTAGATGGGGCTCCAGTTTCAGCAGCTCGGGGTCTAGAACCAGCAGCTCATAGACCATCAGGTCCAGTTTAACTAGCAGTATTCGGCCCACCAGACCGAGTACAACTCTCGAATGGAGGTTCTGGACTAGCGCCTCGACCGGATGGAGGCTCAGCAGGGAGTCACCAGTGCTCGCATCGAGCATGAGCGAGATCGTAACCGCCGGATGATGGAGTATCAAGAGCACCTGCTCCAGTCCTGCCACTCGCCACAGGAGCACCACTAGACTACCCGGTGGGACCACTCACCACCCCGCCACCACCGACAGATGGGGTTGACGACCTCATGGATCAGATCGACTTCAGCGAGCTCGAGTAGGTTGTACTCGCTGCTTGTTTTGTGTTTCTTTTGTTTTGGTTCGGAGTGCTAACAAGCTTTTGTTTGGTTTATTTTATTTTCTTTTGGATGATGTACTATGGGGCTGACATTTGACCTGACATATCTGTGCTTAAGTAATTGTGTCTTCTTTAGCCTTGCTTTAGCTCGACTGGTCCCATTCCAGTCCGTTTCACTCCGACTGGTCTGCCTTCCAGTCTCATTGCAGTCCGCGCCTATCGGTAACATCGTTCCCCTATCATTCCCTCTTCTCTATTGAGGGCAATGTCAAACTTAAGTGTGTGGGGGATGTTTCTATTTGACTGCTTGGATATGTTTGTGTGCTTGGAGCCAAGTCCACTGTCCAAATTTCGATTTGAGGGCTCGAAGTACGTGTTCCTTGCAAATTGCCTGCTCAATATGCTTTGAATTGATAGTCTCTATAGTAATGTGCAACCTAGGGAGGTAGTGTAGCACTATGGAGGATGTTGAAGTATAAGATTTTTCCTATCTATCTCTCTGTTGTGCCGGTTGATTTTGTGAATTAGTGGAGTTAAGACCGTTGAATTCATGTGGTATTGGTGACTCCTTTTGAATTGTGTTGTGGGCTCGTATATCGAACAGGGTGCTCATGTGGGAAATGAAAAGCAGTTGGTCCTCCATGTCGGAATAGTTGAAATCTTAAATATGGGGTAAGCCCAACGTTTGTGGCACCGTTCATTGCACAAAAATCGGGTTTTGGAAGAGATTTTAGTAATCCTTAGTGGGGTACTCCTAAAGGTGAAGCTAAGTTGTCTCTAGTACAAGTAAAATTTCCACCCGTTGAACGGTTTCTCTACTCGAGGATGTATTTTTAAGGGCACGGATAGAGCTTCCGACCCCCCTTAATTTCATTGAACCTCCACATGAGTTGAGGAAAAGGAGTTAAAAGAAGTACTCTTGCGAGTGTCAGATGTACAGAAATTGCTCTTGCTCGACTAATAAGGGTCGACCGTACAAAAGACTGCAGTTGGAACTCCCACCAAGTGAATGAAAAAAAAAAAAAAACAGAAATGTAAAATGAAAGTGAAAAAGGGGTTCCAACGGTGAAATGAAGTGAAAGAGCACCCCGGTACAATGAGTCCTTGGTTGTGAATGATGTGAGTCCCTTTACCCATGAAATGGCTGTCTTACTTACACTGCTTCTCATTATCCTAGCTTGAGTCTAGCACTCGCATTGAAAGAGATAGGGGACGTCTTAGAAGACCAGTTGACCTCGTAAGCTGCTATATGATCTAGGAAATCCTCTACCGACGATCAGGTTGTTTGTTGTTATAGAGGTCTAGAGAGCTGCATTGGTTTGAGTTAGGTTTGCTTGGGGACAAGCAAACGGTTAAGTGTGGGGGAATTTGATAGGCCATTGATTGCACATGTTTATACCTCTATTCTTGAGCCGTTTGAGAGTCGATTCTCGTGTTTTAAGCCAATTTCACGCTAGGTTGTGTGTTTATGTCATATTTCAGGACTTGGCGTTGACGTGAAGGCGAGGAAACGAGTTTCGGGTCAAAAAGGATGACATTGGAGTGAAGGGCGTTGGAAGAGGAAAATACCTGGCTAGGAGTTAAAATACCCGGCCGGGTAAAATGGTAAGAGAGGCGGGGAAAAGTGTTTTTGGACGTCAAGAAGAAAGAAGGGGTCCCGGCCAGAGAGCAAAAATACCCGATCGGGTATTCTGGACTACGACCGGGTATTAATCCCCTATGCGATGCTGTGCGTTTTGAAATCCCCGGCCAGACACCTGAAATACCCGACCGGGTATTATGGCTTTGGTAGAGGCGTGTTAGCTTTTTTAATGTATCTTTAATGTATTTTTTAATGGTATGGCTTTGCGATGCTTGGCAAATTTTTAATGTGACGGTAAAGGCGTGTTAGTTGTTCTGGTTGAAATCTACTGATTCGTTGGTTTTGGTAGGAAAGACATTGCAGACACATATATCTTTAATTTGAATTTGAAGGCATGACTTTAAGTTCTCGTGAGTTTGCTTATGCTTGTAACCTGAGTTTGTATACCCTCGGTTTCTTCTCTATTGCAATCTTGAGCTAAAAAACGGTGAAAGGGCCAAGTTTAGGTTACCAACAAACTTCTAAGTTATTGTCATCATAACAAAGTCTAAACCCAAGTTCTAAATATTAGGTCTTGATGGTCCCCTGGTTATTTAACCCCCTCGATCTCCTTTAATGAAGTAGAGTAATCATATGACAGAATTATCTCCTCAATAACCATGGTGATTAGTGATTACTACTTCATAGTAATCAACATAACCGCTCTCGTATTTCAACTACATGCAAATGCACTATTACTATGTTTCAAATATCTAACATCATACATAGACTAGCATTATAGCATGAGATTGGTAAAAGGATTAATAAGTAAACTCAAAAGAATCTAATATCCAACAGGCACTAGTTATTGCACACTTGTTGTCTTTCTCGTCCATATGAGAAACAAAAAAATTCGGGTCTCCAATACTAGGTGGTGAAACTATTGCGTTCACTATAGTATGTTATGCAGTAGTTGAATTGTATAATCAGAACCGAACTACACATGAACTAAACACACATGGACAATAGTTCGGCTAGTAGTATCGGAGATCATAGTGCGTAGCTCGAAAGGAAATTTTTAGTAAGTTCGCAATGAATTGTGTTACTTAGTGTCATCAATTCCCGTTTCCTTCCGTTGATGAACGTTAAAAGGTGGGAGGAACCAATCCTACAACGGACAACACATGTGTGAACTATAAGTGTGGAATTAGTTAATAAAATAAAAATACATTTAACAAAATTTTCCACTTTCTCATAGTAGGTATATCCTAATATAAAAAGTTTGAAATGTATAATTTTCCACTTCTCATAGTTAGTAAGGAAGGAAGGAACATAATAATTAATATGTTTTAGTATAAAGTTATCCTTTTTCTCCTCCTCCTCCTCCCTTTTCTTTTTTCAATTAACAAGTGTGATGAAGTGACTGATTCCCACACACACTCTCCCCTGTCCCCATTTCTTCTTCCTTTTCTAGCTAGCACCACACACACCATTGCATTATAGCATTAGCAGCAGCTCCAACATATTAAACCAAAAGGAGCAGAAAGCTAAGTAAGCTCTCTTTCTCTCCATCCCTCTGCTTTCCTTCCTTCATTCCTTCCTTCTTTTCTCCATGAGAGTCTCTCGTAACCCGAAAAACAGAGCCAAGAGAAGAAGAAGAAGAATCCAGTAGAGGGAGCGAGGGAGCGAACAGAGGAGATCTATCGTGATAATGAAGAAGAGCATCCGGTGCTGCATCTCGTGCATCCTGCCGTGTGGGGCCCTGGACGTGATCCGGATCGTCCACACCAACGGGCGCGTGGAGGAGATCAGCGGCTCCATACGCGCCGCCGACGTCATGAGGCTCCACCCCAAGCACGTCCTCAAGAAGCCCTCTTCCTGCTCCGCCGCCGACCACCACGGCATCGGCGCCGTCGTCCCCAAGATCGTCATCGTGCCCCCCGACGCCGAGCTCCAGCGCGGCAAGATTTACTTCCTCATGCCCCTCCCGCCCGACGCCCGCTCCAACAAGAAGCAGCGGAAAGACCACCACCGCCACCACAACCGGAATAATGTTGTTGTTGTTAGTAACATTAACGACCACGACAATCATAATAATAATAATACTGTAATTAGCAAGACCGATCATTCTTCCACATCGGATGTTGTCGTGTCGTCGGATGATCGGTACCTGAGCGAGATTATGTCGGAGAAGCAGAGGGATCACCGGCGGCGAGGGCGGGCCGGCGTGTGGAGGCCTCATTTGGAGAGCATTTCTGAGTCTGCCAGCTTCCTCAATGTCCCCACTACTCATCCTGATGATGAGGATGATGATTCTTTTTAATTAAAAATGTTCAATCGAAAACTACACTATTAGTTGGAATTATAATTATTTCTCTCTGGCAGGCTATATTAATTGCTCTTTGCTTCTTTCATTTTTGTTCATCCATCAGTACTGCGCGTTTGGATATACCGTAACGATACCTGCCTACCAACCATAATGCTTCTCTTTTCCGGCCGGTAACTCAAATTTCTGTTCAATTTTCTTCCTCTTTGTCTTCTTTTTTCTGTTTGGCACACCCCTTTTGTCAATTTTGAGTTTACTGTGGACTACTGTAAGTAAAAATGAACAGAGAAAAAGAATCATCAACTGCAAGAAAAATGGGTTCGAGATTATCATCAATCTTTTTTTCTTTTTGGTTAGAAAGAATGATAGAATGGGTGGAGTTAAGGTAGACGAGGGAGCTTTTTCATGAATAGTGGTGGCCGGGATCTCGATGATGAATCATGTAAGTAATGTGCAGAAATCAATGAGAGGGACTTGGAGGGTGATTCAGAAACTTGCTGTTTCCCAGGTTTATTTCTTTCTTCTCTTCTCAAGGCTCTTGATTTATGAGAAATTTGTAAGATCCATGTACTGTTAATTAGTAGATATTTTTGTAATACGATATTAGTTAGTGATAACCTGATAATTTAGATGTGATCGTCGTAATTCTTTTATCTGCTCGGCTGCTATTTCATTTACTCTTTGTTTAAAATATAAAATTGGTACATTACTATGAGAAATTTGCCAACGAACCTTTAGTTGGTGTATAGAAGGGCCATGATCATGATCACCTTTAACTTCACCTCCTGACATAATGCTTACATTACATCCATTTCTTTTCTTCAATGGAGTAGCTAGGAGAAAAGAGATCAGGGAAGGAAAAAGAGTTATTCCTTTCCTCTTTCTTTATTCTGGCTATTTATCTTTTCAGGGCTCTTTTTAGTTTTCTAGTTTCTTGGAGGAATATAAAATAATATAATGTGGCTGAATAACATATCCCATACTTTCAGGTTGAACATGGAAAATCTGAGAAATATAATCCAATTTACATAAGTATTCAAGGGGTGTGAAATCTAATTTGCAACATTTCTTAACGCATAAATATAATACATCCACTCCCACCACACAATAGTATGAGTATGAGACCATAATGAACTAAAACAATAATTAATTGTTTGATGAGACAGATATATTATATATATATAATCCTACATATATGGTATTATTCCAATAGAAAACCACTTTTCAACATGAGGCCTTTCATGAAAAGCAGCCATTCCAAATTTCATCCGTGAATTCTGGGATTCACCGCATAATGTATATAAAAAAAACCCTTCATTGATTAATTTAACCTACTTTTTTCTAGTAATGATACCACAGAGACAAAGCAAATGTGTGTTGTAGGCTTGTAGCTGGAAAGACCCAAAGAGAAGTAGCTAGGTCATATCATGAAGTTACCACACAATTAAGAGAAATAATATATACATTAAATGATTTTTATCGATTACTAATAGGAATGTTCATTAAGTCTGAAATTAATATTCTGCTTCCTTCGCTTTCACGATTTTTTTCTCAATTATTCATTGAATCGAAACATCTAACGTATCCATCCATCCGAAGTCTCCCGATATGTAAATTAATTACACATAGAAAATAATGTGACAATGACATGTTGAAAAAGAAGCTAGCCAGGTGAATCCTAACTCTTGATTGATCATATGATCATGCTCCAAGACCATATGTCTATATATGTGTGTGCGATCTAGCTAGCTTTGATCCATTTTAGATTTCCATCAAAGGTCCAGATTGACATCCCTGGATTTTCCTGCTCTAATCAGAAAGATATTTGATTGATTAGGAAGATCAAAGCAAAGTGACATTAAATTATATTGAAGTGGCTGTGGATGGAATGATAGTCCCCACATCACTTTTTTTCCCACCACAGAATATAATTAATAATGCACTAACAAGTGGGCTTTGGCTTGGCTGTATGAATGGATGGATGGACGTAGGGAGCATTGTCTTGAAGCAATTTGTTCTCTTTTTTTCCAATTTGCGTATTTTTTATATACACAGGCCAAAGAGGGGAGGGGAGGGGAGTGGATGGGCGGATGATGGGGATGATGATTATCAGGTGGGTACCAAACAACAACAGCATCTGTTGTGTAAAGTATGAAGTTCTTATAAAAGCAAACAGATTTTGACATCTACCCAAATATATATGTACCATTACATATACGATAGTTCTCTAGCTGCCACATTTCTTTGCATCATATCATTAATCTTATACCTAATATACTTTGGTTTCCAAGACATATGTATATGTATCAGGGATGTGAATCATACAGATAGGTTGTTGTACACTTCGTTGCCGGAGATTTACGTGTCGGTCCGGTGCTATATACTGGCGATTCGTCTGAGTTGTTTCAGAAAAACGGACACTGACGACGCGTACTGAATTTCATTTACAAACAGATCGACCCATGGTAAAAACTCACGTTGGCGTACAAACTGCCAGTGACGCAAGTTTGGGTCTCACACGTTGAACAGATGTGTCCCGAAAGAAAATGTGAGACATACTTTGATGAATCGGAACCGTCGGATATTATGTTTATAGATTAAATGAATTTTATGGTTCGAGATATAGAATTAGGGGATGGGATTCATCCATTAGAGGGTAAGGTATAGAAATATGTCCCGAATTATGGTTAATTTTTGGTTTAAATGGTCAAACTCGTTATCAGTACAATATTGTGAACGCAAACATATAGCATATGGCTAACGAACGCTAGCCCGAACCATATAAATATATATGCTAAGCATATGCCACCTTTTCGTATGCCTAAGGAGTTTCTCTATGCATAGCATGAGTTAATCGAATTTTGGGACATCATACTATACTCTAACCTCCAATGGGTGAACCTCAGATCCTAATTATTTAAAGTAAAATCATTCTAATAAATTAATTAAAAATAATATCCAGTGATTCTAAATCTTTGAACTATATCGAAGTACATCTAAGATGTATGAATGCAGATATATGTAATCCTTATATTTATATGTAACTATGTGGCGATGTCGCGCTTTGTCGCGGGGCGGAGATGGCCGATGGGCATGTATTATGTGACCCATTATGGTATTTTGTTAGTATGATTAGCCTAAAATTAATTTTTTGTTAGCATTTTTGTTAGTATTATTGACTTGACAATATGATATTGACTGAGAAGAGATATATGGCGGTCAACATCCAATTTAAACAATTTTGGCTAATAAATGATATTTACCTAAACCCAAGTAGACTCATTGATTATGGGTAGGTATGGGTGACGTATATATGGGTTTGGAAGTTTGTAGATGGGGTTGGGTAGGGTTTTGGTATTTACTTTCATAATCTAAATGTGTATGAGTTGAGTATGGGTACTAGGGGTGGGCACATCGGTGGTTAATCCGCATATTGGTATCGATCCACCCGCAAATAACCCGACCCGCAAGCAGTGGGTGGATTGCGGATTGATAAATCTCCCACCCGTACTTATGTGGGTGGGTGGGTGGTGGATTGCGGGTCACCCGAATGATCCACATCCTATTTTCACATGAAAAATGGTGTTTTGACTACTATCATTGGTTATTATATTACACATTGGGTTGTGTAATACCGATTAGATATGGGATATTGGATTGTAAGTTATTGTTAATATCCATTAAGTATTAGGATGAAAACTTTAAATTATTAATTTTATCAAAATCACAAAATGTGTTAAGTTTTCTCTACACAATTGGTAGAGTAGTAAAAAATTTTATGCAAATACTAAATGGATTCACTTTAGGCAAAGTGAGAAGTGTTTAAATTGGTACAGTCTTACTAATGTACTATGAAATTATTATAAGTATTAGTCAACTTTCTTAATGACTAGTTGGAGAATTGCTTGTCCCGGTTAACCGACGACCCAACCACACTCATCTCCCACCCACCCAACCCGACCCGCAAAAGAATGTGGGTGGATTGTGGGTCACATTTATTCAAACTCACTAGTAAGCGGGTGGGTCAATTTGAAACGAAAACCCACTCAACTGCCCATTGCCCACCCCTATGGGTACCCATTTATGGTGTTTTAATTACACATACAAAAATTAAACCTTTGTAGAACTCCAAAAGTTTAGTACCAAAATGTAATACACAAAATTTTTAGGAACTTGCTTAAATTTCCCCTCCTTCAAATCCCATAGTGAAAAATGACGACTTTCTAATAAGTAAGAACCATATATATTTATTTTTAATTGAACTCGACATTGAGCTGAAAAATTTAGTGGTTCATGGTTCAATTATGAATTCTCTATACTGTTGGTCAGTCGTGTATGGATCCGTTCATACTTGTGATTAGAATACATAAAATAGTATACTAATTAGGGTTAGAGGAAGAATGCAAAGAAAGGAGTTAAGAAAGGGTTATGGGATGCGAGTGAAAAATGAAACAAAAAAGAAGTAGATGATGGAAAGGTTTTGACCAATTCTTTTAGTTGGTCTTTATCAATATAACAGTCAACCATTTTCACCATAGCAATTTATCCACACTTGCTTATGTAGATGTCTCATATTTTGTTACATGTAGTCAGTAGAAGTTTGTTTAGTACCCGTAAATATACTAAATGAGTTTATAAATTCGCTTTTGCAATATTTTGGAGTCGTATCTCTTTTATCATTTATTTAATGTTTCACATAATGAGCAAATATAAAATGACCGAATCTTCTCATACAATTGAGTGATACAACATCTTGTATGATACAAACTAACTTTATACTTTTATGTTATGATGGATTGGATTCATGGATTGATTCAAAATGATTGGTGGATTGGATTCATGGATTCAAGTGAAATCTAAACATTGGACCAATATGTAAAAAATTGTAGGCACGAAAATCTCATAAAATCTAGATACCAAAACATAATTGTTCAATGATTTTATATTAAAATTAAATTTGGGGTATCAAAATGTAAAATGTACATTATAATAACTAA